GAGACGAAGAAGAAGCATACCTCGCGAACAATTTATGTCCAACAGGATCCTAATCGCTATTTTCCTAAAGGTTACTTTAACCCACGCGTGAAAACTGTGGCCATAGGGTTTTGTTTTACAGGGACGGGGAGGAAGATGACTCCGTGTCAACATGTGACAGGCGCGTTTGAATTCTCGCGCCAGAAAGTCACTAACGCGCTTGTTTCTTTTTTATTATTTATTTGTTGTAATATAATAACATGTGCGTGCTGGCTCAGGTGGTAAGCGTGAATTCCATTAACCCTCATGACCTGGGTTCAAGTCCCAGGTCAGGCAAAGTTTCAATATTATTTTTCAATGCGTATTCCCATGCAGCTCAAACACCCAGGTGCACCATGTTCCATCCTCATCCAACCTCCACGCGTCCAAAGGGCATCAGATCCATGGCTAAGATTCAAGGTGCATCATACTTCAGGTCAACTGCATCACACATGATTGAAGAAGTCAACGAATCAAGTCTTGTTGGGCCAGATTTCACTAAATTAACCTCCTAATCTGGGGCTACACCCCACCCTGGTTTGCCAAATTTATTTATTTTTCTTATGTCTTCATTTTATTTTAATTGTTATGTTATTTTAATTATTTGTTTCATTTAATTTTTAATCAAAATGTAAAAACATCATAAAATCAAAAAATGCCAAAAATACAATTTTTATTTTTATTTCCATAAATAAATTGCATGTAAATTGTTTAGTTTAATTAGGGTGTAATTTTAATCTTTTTAATAAAAATCCAAAAAAACTAGAATTTAGGTTTAATGACTTTTATTTTCTTTTTTTATTTTTCCCTTTTTTTTTTCTTCAGAATAATGTTATTTATTTATTTTCATAAATTAAAAAATGTACATAAATTAATTTAGAATTACATTAGGTTAAAAGTCAATATTTTCATAATAACTTAACAAACATTAGAATTAGGGTTTATAACCAATTTTTTGTTTTAATTAATTCTTTTTTCTTTTAAATCTTAAAAAACACAAAAATACCATTTTTCATTTAATTTTAATTTTAGATTCCTTGATTAATTTTAATTGTTTGTAAAAGGGTCCAACGCCCTAGTTTAGTTTAATTATTTTATTTTATTTCGCGCATTTTTACTTTATCGTTTAAATAATTATGTATCTGCCCCAAAGCCTTGTAATAACTTTTACTTTATTTCTCGCACTTTTATTTTATTGCTTTTTTACTTTTAGTCAAAACGGGTTCGGTTTATTTTGGCGATGTGGACCCGCGCCGTTTGTAATAGTTTAGATTTATTTTTTTGCAAACTATATAACTGTTAATAAAAGCATGAAAGAATGTATGGACTTAAAATAAAATCAAGCGTAGAACACCAATAAACATGACAAGACAAACATCAATGAAAACGACACACAATTCGCACACACCACCCCTAGGGTACGCCTCACTGTTGCCTTGCATTTCGAAAGGTGATCGTCGAGTAGAGGATGTCTTAGTAAGTCCTCATGATCCGGGAACCTGGCGTGAGGGTAGCTTCTAAGGTGTCTTCCCATTGCTCTGGTGATCACCATGTCCCTATAAACTCGAATTGACCCGAACACCTCCAACGGTGGTGCTACCTACCTCTCAATGGTGGGATGGCACTACTTTAAAGGACATTTACACAGACTAATTCCTTAGGGTAGGTAGACGACTCATGGATACTTGCTCTCTTCAAAACAAACTGAAATCTTTTCACACCAACACTTTTCAAAAGCTTTCAAAGCAAATTTTTCAAACACTCTGACGTACGAGTCGAACTGAAATTTTTCAAAGAAACTTTTTAAACCCACATTGAAAAGCAAACAAACAATTTTGAAAACACATTGAGCAAGTATCTAAGAGCCCATGGATAACCATGGATAGAAAGGGTGCTAACACCTTCCCTTTCTATAACCTACCTCCCGAACCGAGAGCAATCTCTTTAAGGAATTTTTCTGTGCTTTTGTCCTTTCCATTTGGAGAAAATAAAAGACGGTGGCGACTCTTGCTTCCGCGACATTTCGCGAACCAGCTTTAAAACAGTCAGTTCCAGATCCACCGATCACACCTGCCACAACAGGAAACACGACGAAACCCAGCACGGAAAAGGCGAGGACGGGGATGCGGAACCGGGGGTCGTTACTGGGTTCCGGGGGACCACTGATTAATCTGTATTTTTTTATGTAATCGTTACGTGTGTAATCATATTCTATAAATAAAAAGTCAATTTTCTTGATCCTATATCATTTATGTAACGTACCATATTTAAAATAAAAAACGCGAAAAATTGCCTGCCTTTTGCACTAAGGCGCCATCTCACTTGGCTTAGGGCAAGCCTTTTACACATAGGCGCCAAGTGAGATGACGCCTCCCCTTTAAAATAAGGTGCATGCGTCAACTGGGTTGACTCCTCCTTTATGGGGTTTTCTGAAACATGATTATTTGCGTAATTTTCTCCGAAACATAGTTATTTGCGAAAAAAAATTTAATACCTAGTTATTCCAAAAAAAAAATTCGCAACAAAGTATTAATGCAATTGACAGTTGACATGGCTTCACTTAGAAAGAACACATATGTTGCTCTGACCCCATATAGTTTTTAAAATGATCACGGTCGAGTCAAGACATATTCTCTCTGTTTCAAAATTAATATCATTTAAAGAAAAAAATTTGTTTTAGAATGAATATTATTCTAACTTTTCAATATACTAATGATAACTATTTTTCTAATTGTGTTCTATAACTATTACTCAGCACACTACTTCCAATAAATTAATAAGAGTAATTTAATAAAAGTGTAATGTCTCATGACAATATAATTGTATTTTTTAATTTGTGTGCAAAAACTTTAAACAACATTCATTTTAAAACGGAGAGAGTATATTTTATCTTTAACTCAATTAATCAATTAAAAAATGGTTGGCTTTTTTTCTTCTTTATTTCATTGGTATATCTTATTTCGCAAAACTTTTAATTTTATAAGTCATTTATTCTTCAAAATTACAAATAACCGACGACAATTCCACATACCACATCAATATCCTTGCGAACACACATATATTTCATTAATTTAATTTTAAAAAAATATATGCCAATGCATTTCTTTGATTTAAAATATAAATCTTATCTAACTTAGCTAATATAATATTTATGATATAATGTATTTTAGAATATAAAATTTATTATTTAATATATTTAAATAATTAAAATTAAAATTACTTAATAAGTTTTTTATATGAAATTTTTACTAAATATTATTTACTTTTTAAAATATATTTAAATACAAAATTAATATATTATTATTTGATATATCTTAAAACTATTTTTAAATACATATGTTTTAATCCGTTCATATCATTTTAAATACATAATTTATTTTTTATAAGAAATTCATTATTAAATATTTTTTATAAAATATAACTTATTGAATTTATTAAAATAACATAAATATTTTATGTTTATCAATCAAAATAGTTTAACTTGTATTTTTAATAAGATGAATATTTTTTCATGTGATTCACAAAATTAATCCTTCTATTTTAAATTAAATAATTGTGATTCTCTATTTTAAATTTAAATAGTTTTAATTTTTTTTACACAATATTTCATAGAAAATTAATGAAATATTTATTTTTTAACTTGTATTTTATCCATAAAATTCTATAATATAATATAATTTTTCATGTTTCACACCTAATTTCGTAATTTTTTATTTAAAAATAATAACAATGTTAATTTAAGTTTAAAAGCATGAGAGATAATAAAAAGTGTTTAAATTTAAAATAAAATGACTAAAACTGTCTAAATTTAAAATATAAAAATCAATTTTGTGAATCAATTAAAATAGAAGGATATAAATTATAATTAAATCAACAAAATAATTTAAAAATATCATATAAGTTTCTAACTTAATATCATTAACTTTTTTTTTAAAGTTAAATTCAATGTTTCAGCTTTTTAAATAATATAAGGGAAATGTTTATTATTTAATAATAATAATAATAATAATAATAATAATAATAATAATAATAATAATAATAATAATAATAATAATAATAATAATAATAATAATAATAATAATAATAATAATAATAATAATAATAATAATAATAATAATAATGTCGTGAGATTCAATGTTTCAATTGATTCTCATATATAAAAAAATTGTATTTTAATAAAAATATTATTATTTAATATGTTTTTTATATATGAATGAAAGTGATATAAAACATATTTATTATTATTTAATACAACATCTATGATTTAAATTTTATTTAATACAATAATTATTATTTATTTATTTAAATAATAGAATTGCTTACTTAATAAAAACTTTAAAAAAAAAGTTTCACTTTATATCTCAATGCATAAATGTTTGATTATATTTAAAAGGACAAAATATTAATAAAGTTTGGAGAGCCTTGATTTTGAAATTTAAAAAAAAAAAAGATAAAATAAAATTCAGTCATCTTTTAGAAAAATGCATTGGAAATTACAGTAAGATTGAATTTGGAGAATACTTTCAAAATAGCTTTATATATTTGGTAATTGGCACTTTTGTATAAAGTATAAATGTAATTATGAAAACGCGTGACATGCTTTCTTATTCATTAAGGAAAATATATAATATAATTATTTATTTATTTTTCAACAATAAAAAAATAATATTCAAAGTAAATAATAAATAAAAGAAAAACACAGGTTATGCGGGTCTTATTGTGCACCCTATCACACACTATAATACACTCCATTTCTGTTTATCTAGAAGTTGTACAAAACCATATATAAATACAATGATAAGAAGAAGAGAAAAAAAATAAGAGCAAGGCATAAGAAAAAGAGAGTAATCAGTAAGTGTTTTTATTTGTTTATTTAATCAATATTTACTGGTTTGTTAATTTTTTATTTTGTTTTGAAAATTTTTGTTAATATAAATTATAGTATTTAGATCTGTGTTAACGAATAATGCAGGTAAATTTGCATGCAAGAGATGACAAGAATAAGACAATTATATAATAAGAGTAACAAGATTGCAAAATGTTTGTCTTGTGATCTTTGCAACCAACTTCTCAAAGACGCCACTAAAATTATCGAGTGTTTTCATACTTGTGAGAATTTTCTTTCATTTGAAAAAAAATCTTTCAATTATTTTTTTATATATTTTATAACTAATTATAAGTACAATTAAATCGGTTTAATATTTAATTATGGGGTGATTGTGTTAGTGTAGAAGAGAACAAAATTTATTTTTATTTATTAGTTAATAAAAAATTGTGATTGATTGTTTGTAAATGTTTTCATGTAATTAAGTATTTTTCATATAAAAATTAATTTTAAAATTATAATTATTTTGTGTTTGGAAAATTTAAATAAGAATATTTAAAATTAATAATTTGAGTGATTTTTGTTTTAGATTTTTTATGTGTTAATAATCTTATAGGCTGTACATCTTTGTTAAATTTTTTATATATATGATAAATTATTGTTTAAAATTGATGGTCAAGGAGTTTGGGGAACTCTGAATACCACCATAGAAATTGACAACAAATGGTATAAAAAATGTTTTTTTTTATAAATTTATTAAATAAACTATGTATCTAATTTATTTAATAATTAAAAAAATATATTCTTTATATTAAAATCCAAAGAAAATATAATTTGACATTGTTTTTTATTTTATTTAATAAAGCGAGAAGATTGATTTCAATTGTTTGTAAATTTTAGAGAGTTATATGTTTTAAAATGTATCTCGATGTAATTTGAATATGTCTATTTAGGTTGAGTGAGTACCAATTTCTTAAAACTATTTTAATTTTTTTCTTTCAAAAATTAAATGAGTTTTTGCAAAAATATATTAAATAGATATTGAATTGTTTAATTGAGTTTAAATATGGTTTATATAATTTTGTGGATTTGAATTCTCTCCTAAATTGAAGATTAGCTTAAATGATTAGAGTTTGTTGGTTTGAGTTTGGTAATTCATTTGTATGCTTATGTAGTTGATTAGAAAAATTTGATCCTAAGATTTATGATTTTTAATCTTGGTATTTTGTTTAGTTTGCAAGGAGTGTATACATTCTAAAATCGAAGAAGAAGAATTGGAATGTTGTCCTGTATGCGACATTGATTTAGGCCCCGATCCTTTTACCAAAATGAGGCAAGTTTTTCACAAACTCTCTTGTTGTAGTTATTGTACTATGTTATTATTTATTTATTTTTTTGGAAATTTGTTATTTAGTTGACATGCTTTTATGTTATATCATTATATGCATAAACTGTGTTATTTTAACATGCACTTACTCCTAATTTTTTAATATATTATTAATGTAAGTAAAGATTTGAGGTATTCACATTGGTGAGTTTGAAAGATGCAGATAATAAATGATAATATTTATTAAAAACATATGTGTTAAGTATCATTAATATATTGAACTTTAATTTGAATTTATTGCCTTCATAATTTCTTGTATGGTGACACGAATTCGGTAGATTTGATTGAATTAAATCATTTGTCTTTGGGTTGTGTTTGATTTTCATGTCTATTTTAGGGTTTTATTTATACACTTACTATTTCATAAATATAATATCTCTTGTGTACGACGCAAATATAAGACATATATATTTGTTGATATATATTTAATTAAGGGAAAAAACTTATGTATAATTTTTTAGAGTGTGGTTTATATTTTTTTTCAATAAAAATATGATAAATATATAATTTATTTTTCTATATATACAATTTTCTCATATTTTTAATTTTTAAAGAATATTTAAAAATATTTATTATATTTTTATTGAAAAATATATAAATCACATCTATAAAATTATATCTAAATATTCTTCTTTAATTAATATTATTTTCTTATATTATTATTAACGTCGATGAACCAATGTCAATATTATTTCCTCTAGTTTTATTTATAAAAAACAATTTAATTTTTAAATTTATTCAATAATAAATATATCTAATTTATTTATTATTCAATTAATCTAAAAATTAAAATATCTCTTATAAATATGACAGAGAATATGTCTTATGAATGATGTCTATAAATAAATGTCAATATTATGTCTTATGTGTCATGTTTGTTTCATTTACAACTTAATGCATTTATCATTATCTTTCATTTACAACTTAATGCATTTATTACTGTCTTTGAGATGGATATTTTTTTTGTTTCAAATGTTTTGATGCTACGTTGAATTGAATCTATTGATATTTGATTACTTATAGGGCGGATATTAGTTTGCAAAACATGAGGAATCACCTATTTCCTATTGGGAAAGAAAAGGAGGCATATGAATACCTCCCAAAAGTTCTAATGAAAGCCAATGGGTATCCTATGCCTAAGGTGCAACATTTTAGTACTTCAAGTTCTACAATTAAAAGAAAACTCAAGAAATCAAAAGGCACCAGTTCTTCTGAGAAACACATCAATAAGAAAATGAAGATCGAGGATGAAGCTCAAGATAATAATTAATTAATTATTTAATTAATCAATTATGAATAAAAAACATTATTATGAACTTTTATTAGTATAAACTATGTTCTATTATTGTTAAACAATAAATAATTGATGAATATGCATTGTTTCTAAGTGGATCATAATGAATTGATTCATTCTGTTAAATCTAAATCTAATGAGATATCTCTAGATTATTTAATGGTTATTTTATTAGACGGTTGATTTTAAAAATCTAAATAATTATGAGTGTAGTTAACGTATTTTTATTTCAATTCTTATCTCAATCTTCTGTATATTATTATAGAACATATGGTTCCACTATTCTTTATATATAGGTAGATTTGATGTGATTTGTATTTTTTTTTATGGGAATGTGATAATTGGACCTAGGTTGAACTAGGATTCTAATTCTTCGGCCCAGTATTTTCTATTGTTATCTTTCTAGTTAATTCATGGGCTTCACAGTTGTTTTTGTATTTTACATGATTAAAGCTAATATAGTCAAAAATTTCTCTATATCTCTTCATCTTCGTTACCGTTCGTCTACCTTAGATTTGGGTATGTCATCGCCATACTCAGTCTGCATGATACAGATGATGTTTTCATTATCAAATTCAAAATCCATCTTGCTATAACCTTCACAAATAGCACACTCCATGGCCATGCAAAACGCCATGGATTTTGCTTTCAGAGATTGATTAGAATCCTTCATCCTTTTGGTTGCTATGTTGATTCTAGTGTCATCATTCTCAGTGTCGATTGTACTTAAGCCACGTATGCCATCTTTAACCAGGCTAGCATCGGTGCGGAAAAGAAGCACATTGTAGTGGTTGTTGTTGCTACTACTTCTAGTTTGCATGCGGTTCTGCTTATCATTCTTCTCACATTTGTTTCCTTTAGCTTTGTCTTTACGGATTTTCGTCTTTTCAGTATTTTGATATTCGATTAGGGTTTGCTGATTTTGATTTTGGTTTGTATGTTCCTTCGTTATTCCGTACTTGGCGTGCTTGAGCTTTCTGTCTTCGTCATGCATGTTGATGTTCAGTTGCTTCGGATGAAGATGCTTCTTCTCCTTTTTATGTTGATATTGATGGATAAGTCTTTTTGTATGATTTTGTTGTTATTGTTGTTGTTGTTCGCGTTGTCTTTGTTGTTAAGCTGATATTCACCATTTTCCTATTGTCCATGTAATTCTTCTTTTTCTCCAGGTTATTGATACTTTGGCTTTTGTTGTTCTTCCTAGACTTTGGTATGTGCACAGTTTGAGGTTGCTTTCAGGAATGTTTGTCCTTCTGGTGGTTCTGTGAATCATTATCTTGTGTGTCCTTTGTCTGATTTCTCTTGGTGTTGTTGTAGTCCAGATGTTGAATCAGGTCCATCTTTCTTTGCTTCCTAGTTTGGTTAGAGTTGAAGCTCAATCCTCCGTATATTTGGATGTTGGAGCTCAATCCTTTTTAAATTTGTTTGTTATGGTTTGTAAGTTGTTTCCCTTTGATAGTGTTAGTGTCACTTTTGTTTTTCATCTTAATTCTTGTGATCTTATTGTTGTTATTGTCTTAGATCTTCAGGTGTCTTTCCAGCTCAGGATTACCTATGTTCTTATGAGTGTTGTTGTTATTTTGTTTCTCTTGTATATGCATCTATCTTATCTTGTTTTTTAGATGAGTTATGCTAACTCCCTTTTTCTTGATTTGTCTCTCACGGTGTTCATTGTGCTGATTGGGATGGTTGCTAACTTTATGATCCAGGTTGTTGCTCTTCCAGTTGCTTGTCTTCTTATGATTATCCTGCCCATTGTTATCCATGTTGACTTGGTGATTCTGATGATTATTATTTGCCTCTTCTTCCTTTTTTTGTTTGCAGGTCTTGATAGCTAGGTAGTTGCTGCTATTGGTGCTTGTCTGGTTTATGGATGTTATCATAAGCGTTTTCTTTTTATTATAAAAGATGTTGTTTCTGGTATACTAGATAGTATCTATGATGTTCATAAACATGTTGATTGTTTCTTGATGCATGATTGTGATGTGCTTCTTTGTCCAACTAATAAAGCAATTATAGTTATCCTCCATAAACTTTATGTTAAGTTGAGATTCAAACCATAGTTATTGAACCCAAGTATAGCCACTAAAACAGTGGTCTATGGTTTCTTTTTTGTTGTTGCATCAGGGACATAGGATATCTCTAGTGATACCCCTTTTGTTGAGAATTTCTCTCGCGGGGATGAGATTATTAAGAATTATTCAAAGCATAATTTTTTGGCGAGGGGTAGCTTTAACTTTCCAGATTATTTTCCATATTTTTTGCTCTTTGTGATTATCTAAGGTCTGGCTCTAGGTTTCGATTTTCTAATTCTCAATGCAATAGTAACCTGGCCTCACATTGTAGTTGTCATCCTTGTTAGCTCTCTAATTAATCCATTCTTCTTCCTCCAAATTATGAAGAGAAATATCTAGGATAGCTTCAGAGTCATAGGGGTGAAATATGGTATCTATTTTGGGATTATCCCATTAACTTGTCTCCTTATCTATAAGGTAATCGACTTTAACGTAGTTAGGATTCTAAGGCATTATCATGAGGGGTTTAAACTCATTATATGTAGGTATACAGTTGTCAGTCTAAATGTTAATATTATAGCCATTTCCAACATGCCAATAGATTCCCTTTTTATAACCTCGATGTTGTTGTGAAAACTTCTCCATAGATAGATAGGCCTTCTGCCTATTATAGCCTTTAGGATATCCTCGTTGGGGTAATATTTTCTTTCATAACTTTTGCCACCAGGGTAGTTGGTTTAGTATGGAGCCTTCATATTTGTTTAGCCAAAAGGGATTTCTTGAATTCATGGAACATTGTGAAACCAAGTCCACCTTACCTTTTTGATTTACGTAGGTTAGCCCAGTTAGTCCAATGTATTTTGCTACTTTCCCACCAGTAGTTGGCTATTATAACTTCTATCTTCTTGCATAGACCCATAAGGAGGAGGAAGGAACTCATGATGTAAGTGGGAATGGATTGAAGCAACGGTTTGATGAGAATGGCCCTGACAGCATATGAAGTTTTCTTGTCTTTCTAGTTGTTTAGTTTGGTCCTAATTCTATCAAGAATGTAGTTGATTCTAATATTCTTAGAGATGCCAATGCGCATAGGTAGTGATTTGATTGACTTTAGGAATTCTAAGGGTGTTATTAAATATGTTCTGGTCTTTCTGGTCAGTACCTTTGCTGAACATAATCTCCGATTTGTTGAGATTAATCTGCTGACCTGAGTTCTCTTGATACGTGTTAATAATATTGAGAAGATTTCTAGCCTCTTTTTCTATGCCTTGAAGAATATTAAACTATCATCTGCAAAGAATAAGTGGGTTATATAAGGATAATTCTTAGCAATTTTTACCCCTTCAAAAGAGTGGTTATTATGACCATTGTTAATCAGATTAGAGAAATGTCAACACATAAAATGAAAAGATAGGGTGAGAGGGGGTCTCCTTGTCGTATGCCTCTGGTAGGGACAGAGCTATCAATAGGATAAAAATTTATGAGGATAGAGAAAGTGACTGTTTTTATGCAATTCATAATGAGTCTAGTAGTGGTCATATGAAAGCCAGTGGTAATAATGAGTTTTTCTATGAAATTACATTCAAGCCTATCATAGGCTTTTTCCTTATCCAACTCGATGCCAACATAACCTTTTTTTCCTTTTAGAAGAGTTATGAATATGGTTGAAAATATCATAGGCTATCATGGTATTATCAGTGATGAGTCTATTTTGGAGAAAGGCACATTGATTGGTACTTATGATGTGAAGGAGAATGGGCTTCAGTCTGTTAGGTATGGTTTTGGTAACAACTTTTATAATAATACTGCACGGGGAAATATGTCTATAGTTCTTGGGGTGGTTGGATGTTTACTCTTCGGTATGAGGCAAATATAAGTATGGTAAGGTTCTGGGGGTCTGTGTGTCTATTAAGGATGTTCAACACTGCTGTAGTGGTATCTTTGCCAATGATGTGCCAAAAACTATGGTAAAAGCTAGAAGGAAGACCTTCAGATCCGGGAGAAGCATGGCTTTTTAGGTTTTTAATGGCCTTAGTGACCTCATCTTCCATATAGGGGCAAGACAACTAATTTTTCATGTCCTCCGTCATAGTGGTTTGGTATCCTTTGAAGCAGTCCTCATGGAGGGTATTGTTGCTGGTATTGAATTGATGGATGAAATAAATAGTGATAGTTTCTTTTATCTCACTATCTTTGTTAGAAATATCTCCATTGGTCCTCTTAATTTTGGATATTTTGTTGTGGGTTTTTCTTTGATTAGCTCTTTGGTGGAAAAAAGAAGTATTTTGATTCCCCCTTCCCAACCAATGAGTTTTGGCCCTTTGAGCCCATCAGGTCTCTTCTTGTTTAAGGAGGGTGTCCAACCTAGATTGGAGGATTTTTATGTGATGACATTTATTATTATTATGGTTGTTTATCCTGGTTGTTCTTAAGTTGTTGTAGGACTTTGGTTATAGTGCGAAAAGGGTGGCCATATATTTTCTTGCCCCATCTTCAGACCTCATATAAAGTTTGTTTGAGTTTATTGTCATTGCTTATAAGGGTGCCATTATTCCAGTTATTCTTAATGATGCTCTCAGTGTCAGGGTCTTCCAGTCATATATTTTCGAACCTTTTGGGTCTACTATTGTTATGATTGGTATTGTTATGATTTTGGTTAATAGAATCAAACTTGAGGAAGATGGGGTTGTGATTCGAAGTGGTTCTAGGATAGTGAGTATTGGAGTAGTGAGGGAGAATATTAATCTAATCCTTAGTAGCCAGGAACCTGTCCAATTTGGCTTCGATGTAGGTGTTATCTTGATGTTTATTACACCAATTGTTCATCTTTCCTTCGAAACCTAGGTCCTGCAGATCACAATCAGCCATAACATTATTAATGAAGTTAGTCAGATTTATATCTATCAGATTTCTCCCAAATTTTTAATTATTATTAGTGATTGAGTTAAAATCTCCATATAT